ATAGGATATTTGATGAGGACAATAATAATATATAAGGTTATATTATTATTATTATTATGATAAAACTAATAGCAGCTAAATTGCATTGAGAGCTTTCTATACATCAGGCTCCATAGGACACAGTCATATTTTCTTGATGTGATCCACTCTGCAGATGAGGAAGCTGAGGCTCCACGAGGTTAAGTAACCACCCGGAAGTCACAAAGCTAAGGATCAGGAGATAGGACTTGCACCCAGGCCTCAATTCAAAACAAAGGAGGCCAGATGTGGTGGTCACGCCTGTAATCCCAGCACTTTGGGAGACCGAGGCGGGAGGATTGCTTGAGCCCAGGAGTTCGAGACTAGCCTGGGCAACACAGTGAGACCCCTGACTCTACATTTTTTTTTTTTAATTAGCCAGTCATTGTGGCACATGCCTGTAGTCCCAGCTACTTGGGAGGTTGAGGCAGGAGGATCACTTGAGTTCAGGAGTTCAAGGCTACAGTGAGCTATGATCCCACCACTGCACTTCAGCCTGGGAGACAGAGCCAGATCTTATCTCAAAAAAAAAGCAGGACAAGACCCAATAATTGAGCCAGATGGGAACTTAGGCCCTGACCAGCCCTACTCTCTCCTCTTAGAAAGAGAAATTGAGGCCCCTAAGAGCAAGAAAGCTGCCTCAAACCTACAGACTTCCAGATGGAATTTCGTTTCCCTCTCAGGACTTTGAGCAGGTAAATTCCTGGCCTTTCCTCTCCCAGGATGGGCTGGGGGAAAAGCAGCAGCAGCTGGGCAGGAGATCTGAACAGGTACAAAGCGCGGCCTGCATGAGGGGAAAGTGGTTAGACACCAAGCAGAACTTCCGGGCCTCCTCTGGGAAGTTTCTGAGACTCATCCAGGGGCTGCCCCTGCGGGTGGGGGCCCTCCAGAGGCCAAGGCCCAGAGAAAGGAGACCCTAGTCCTTTCCGTCTGGGGTGCAAGGAGCAGGGGGAACAGTGGGGGCGGCCATCCTGGTTCCGCATCCTCCGTTCCCGACATTGGAGGGAGGCTGCTATGGGAGCTGGGACTTTCCTGAGAGCAGAAGATTCTGGGAAATTAGAGACAGCTGCAGGGCGGGGCTGCCTCCCAGCCTCCCTTCCCTTCCCTCCCCTTGGTCCCCGCTGGCTCTGGAGGCACGCCTCTCTACCCCTCCACCCTATGAGCTCCTCCTCCCCTAGTCCATGCCTTCCACCCTCAGATCTTTTCCCCCAACCTCTTTCTCCTCCCTCAGATCTGGCCTCTACCCTCAGACTCTCTCCAAATCTTCTTCCCTCAGACTCCTCTTTCCCCTCCAACTCTCTCCTCCTCCCTCAGAGCTGCGTCTCCTCACTTAGAGCTTCTCAGACTCCTCAGACTGTGCGGTCTCCCTCAGATACTCTCCCCTTCCCTCACCTCCTCCCCCAGACCCTTACCTCCTCCTTCAGACCCTCACCTCCTCTCTCAAACCCTCGCCTCCTTCCTCAGATGCTTATCTCCTCCTTCAGACCCTCTCCTCCTCCCTCAGACCCCCGCCTCCTCCTTCAGACCCTCACCTCCTCTCTCAAACCCTCTCCTCCTTCCTCAGACTCTTATCTCCTCCTTCAGATCCTCTCCCCCTCCTCCCACTAACCCATCTATTTCTCTCTCAGACCTGTCTTCCTTCTTCAGATCCTCCTCCTTCAGACCCTATTATCCCTCATCCAACCTCAGAGAACTTTCAGTACCCTCTCTCCCAGCAGCACCCTCTCTCCCAGCAGCACCCTCTCTCCCAGCAGCACCCTCTCCCCCAGCGGGAAGCTCTCTCCCAGCCCTTCGAAGCCCCCGCAGGACCCATCACATCTTCTCCCCTCTCCAGTCCTGCTAGATTGGAACCACTGCACCACCTGCCCCGGGATGCCAGGAGTGGGACAGGCTTGGGTGTCCTTCCGACCCTACCTCTGAGGGTCCCCACCCTAAGCCTCACCCCTCCAAACTTCAGCTTTCCTTTCTGTGCCGTGGGGTAGTGCTCCACACCCCTCTCCTGTGTCTGAGGGTCCCCAGGGGTGGGGTTGGGTGGGCAGGGAACACAAAACTCAGCCTATCCAACCCAATTCCTCCTCTCCCTTTGCTGTGGCCCTCGCAACACCAGCAGGCAGGGGTTGCCATTGGTCCCATTTTCCAGAAGAACAAACTGAGTCTCAGGATGAAATGGCTTGTCTAAGGTCCCACCGGGAGCAAGGGGTAGAGGCAGAATTTGAACACAGGTCTGTGCTCGGGATGTTTCACCATGAAGCGGGGTAGGCAGAAAAGATCAGGGAGGGAAGGGATGAGGCCTCTCCCCACAGCCACTTCTCACATCCTGGGTTAACGATCCACTCGGGTGGGGCCTGAGTCCGGCCAAAGTCCCTTCCCTGGGCCCCAACACCCACTTTCAAGGTCCCAGGGGACAGAGACAGCAACAGAGATGGGGAGACAGAGACAGAGGGCAGGGCGGGAGACAACCAGAGGGAGGCCAGGCAAGTTGCGAAGACAGAAGGAGACCGGGGGAGAGAATCAGAGAGACGCCGCAAGCCCCCTGGGCAGGTCTGGGGTGCAGCCACCATGCCCCGCCCTCTGTGTGCCCAAAGCCTCCCTCTCCGCCTCCTGTGACTCAGTGACCCGGACTCAACCCCAGCGGCTGCCCCGCCCCCAGGGAAATCCGGGAAAGCCCCGGACCTTCGGGGCCCCACCCCGGGGCGGGGAGAGGCAGAGAAGGGGAGGAGACCGGGAAGAGTCCCGCCTCCCCCCTCCTTCCCTCCCATCTCCTGCCTGAGTCATGCCCCCAACCCGCCTGGCTTGTTCCCCACCCATCAACCCTTCTTCGCGGTGGGAGGGGAAGTAGGGGGGAAGCCAAACTGCTCCCCTCTCCTGCAGCACCGGCCTCGGTCGCGCTGACTCTGGCCTGGCGTCTGTGTCTCTTGCTATCTCTCTTTCTCTCAAGATCTCTGCGCCTGTCTCCATGTCTCTTTTTCTCTGTGCACCTAGGATTTTCCGAACACCCACCCCGGTGCCCTGGGGGCCCTGGCTGGGTGCAGGGCCCCCAACGCGGGCAGAGACACAATCAGTGGAGCGCTCCCCACCTTCACCCCACCCCCAGCCCCTTTAGACCCACAGCCGAAGAGGCACGTGGAGTGGCACAAATGGAAGAGAGGAGGGAGAGGAATCGTTCCTGGCCGCCTGCCGAGTGCCAGTCCTTGCCCCGGGTGCGTCTCTTCACTCCCACTAAGGAGGAAACGGCTCAGAGAGGGGAAGTGTTTGACCAAGGTCACCCAGCGAGGAAGTGGGAACCGAGATTCGAACCTGCGTCCCAGAGATGCCAAGGCCTCCTGAGAGGCAGAGAAGCAGACAGCAACTGAGAGACAGAGAGATGGTGACAGGCACAAAGAGACAAAAGAGAGAGACAGAGACCGAACAGAGCACACAGAGACAAACGCGGGGGTGCGAAGAGAAACACCTACTCAGACAGGAGAACCAGAGAGACAGTTACAGACTCAGCGATAGAGAGGCTGAGAGATAGAGCCAGAAAGACAAAAACAGAGGCAGAGAGACTGAGAGCGGCCCTTGGCAGCAGGGGTAGGGACACC